TCAACTTATACATATCTTGCATATGTAGAAGTTATAGGCAAATAGGGTTCGTGCTCTTAGAGTGTACAATTCCCAACCATATATTGCCTTGTATCCCCTCATTCTAGTTATTGCGCTATTCTAAGTGGCGGGACGCTTATCTGGATGGATACGGTAGAGTAAGTGCTATTTGTCAGTTGGAGGGGCAAGAGGTGTCAGTTCCTTTGGCCAGCCACCCAATGGTCAAAACAGTCGCATCGTCTTCAACTGTCTATAAGGGCTGTGACCATTTGTACAGCCGGACGGTTATCGAGTCCATATTAACCCTCATTATATTATATAACTTTAGTTCACATGACTAGTGTGAGAGTACGACCCTGTTACACTTCTATCTCATTTCCATATTTTCTTCTCTATCTCATTCTCCTTTTTATCCTAATTCATTTGATCTTTACCTTATCTCATTTGTGTTCCTATTCCTCATTTTCCATTATCCTTTGGTTTATCATTTTATCATGATTATACCACTGACCAGGTACGGGATGTAATGGCGCGCTATATCTAGCGTAGTCCTGCCGTAATCCCTTAACACCAATAGTCTCGCGTGGCTATACGCAGAGTGATTCTATTTCTAGGAGGGTCTGTTCCTTTTGGATAGGATAAAACTGGTTACCTGATGTACCTTTTGAGTATAAAAGCGCCTTGTATCGGTTGATAGTGCAACTTTTCCTCGACACATTCGATCCTGTGACACTTGGTAATTACAGCTTTTCTCACTAGGTCGCGCTCTGCTAAGCAGAAGCAACGGGAAAACTTGCCTAAAAAAAAACGACGGGGGCAACTAATTCGGCGCCAATTCTGGTAAGCACCAGCTCCGCGTTTCCTATTTTGAACAGGATGGCGAACTTCGACAACGCCGAGGTTTCCCAGGAGCTCTTCGTGCGCATTGCCGCCCTACAAGAGGAGATGCAAGCCGACCGCCAAGCTTGGCGAAACGAGTTCGAGCGAGTAACTCGACTCGCCGGCGTGCAACACGAAATGACAACGGCGACAATGAAGCAATCGCTGCTGTTTCTCGAGGCTCTGAAGCCGCGCCCGCCTGAGCCATTCAATCCGAGCTATCGAAATTCCGACGCCTGCAGATGGATCCCAGCATGGAGATTTACTTCGCAGCCGTCGGATGGAGCTCACCAGTCTGGGACAGTCAGCGCGTGCGACACTGATGCGAGGGCCGGCACTCGAGTGGATCGGCGGCAACAGTACCTCCATCCATGGCGAAGCCACGCGGCAGCAGTTCCGCACCGACCTGCTACAACGTTTCGAGCCGATAAATTCGGATTTCCTTGCTCAGGAAAAAAATCATCGCCATCGACAGTTCGGGAGTGTAGCACAGTATACGCAGCAGATGGAAGAATCTTATAACCGCATTCCCGACCTGACCGAAGGGGAAAAAGTACAGTCGTATCTCGTCGGGCTGAAGACCGAAGTCAAACAACAGGTAGCAGCGACAAATTACGCGAGCTACAGTGATGTAGCATCGGCAGCGGAACGGTTTGACATGGTCAACGCCGGAACACGACGGGCGCTCATCGGCAGTACGCGGCAGGGCGACCGCTCGGCTCACACCACGTTCGCCGACCCGATGGAAATCGACAGGTTTGACGGGCGGCCACGTCTGAAAAACACCAACTACTCGTGTGACTTTTGCGGGATGCCGGGCTATCGAATCTTGGACTGCAATAAAATGAAAGCCGCACGTACAGAGTATCGGGCATGCAATAGTGGCGGAAATTCTTCGGCCAATCGGAAGCCAAAAAGTGGGATCCGCTTCTGACTGCGGATCTAGCTGGCGAAAAAAGAAATGATCCGAAAACGGCCGCGGGATTCCGAGAAAATCAACTTTAACGAAGCTGATTCGACGCGAGCAGGAAGAAATGATGGGGAAAAATATCCACCCCACGACCGGTCTTCGTCAGGGAAAATCGCCGAGAAAACATCTGACTCCGCGAAAAAATACTGTGACGAGACGGGGAAACTCCTAGAAGACCCAAGAAATTATAAGGATTCGTTAAAGTTACAGTGACGGAAAGTATTGCCCGGATAATTGCCTTAAAACTATTCTTGTACTGTTTTGGTGCCTTTTTTTGTATAGTTACGATTCATATTTCTGCCTTGGTTGTAAAGTAGTACTACATTATATGTAACGGATATGGGTTTCCGATTTGAAGGGGTCGATTTTTTACCGGGGACGAGATTTGGTTCGCGTCGGTGCATCCGGACATTTCATGCCAAGCGGCGTACTAGATCTATATCCTAACCTCCCTTGTTCTACTTAGTTGCCCTCGCGACTTTTGAGTAGTCAAGAGATAGGCCAGGACCGCTGTTACGACTGGGCCGTCATGAAACCGTTAGATGAGGCGCGCCGCGCATGGAACATTACCCTATTGCGGAGGGGGTATAGCACTCGTCAAATCGCTAAACAGCTAGGCGTGGGGAAGAGTACGGTCCATGATTATGGCCTCAAGGCGATTGCTAAGTCTAGCCGCGATGACGTGCATCCTACGATGCCCTCAGCTGGTCGCCCTCGCTTAATGAACGAGAGAGTTCGCCGCGACATAGTTCGGTCGATTACTAGCGGGGAGGCAAAATCCTCCGCTCACGCGGCGAAGATCGTCGAGATGCAGCACGGCATTACACTGCATCCTAGTTTCGCTAAGATTACAAGATACAACATATCCGAGTTTCGCGACATTCCAACGGCTAGTTTTTTGTCGACGTCGTTTCTTGTGAAGACGACTTTTCTGTCCAGAATTTCGGATTTATATTTTGAGTAATTCTAGCTCCTAAGTTCACCTAGACTCCGTCCTTAATCCTAACAAGTGGTATCAGAGCGATATTAAGGACATTAAGAGGAGTCTACAGAATTTTGAAGACCCTTCTAGACCCACCATGGCCTGTGGGTGTGCCTAAGTGGTGTTCTAAAGGTTGGATGTGTCTTCCGCTAAGGGGAAACTCTGCCGAAATTTCGTGGACGCCGACACTTGTGAAAATATCGAGGGAGCTGAGTGTGGACAGAAAAGGGGAGCTGAAATTCGTCAATTTCTTAAGGAGAAGATGAATGAGAGAGGAGGAGATGCTAATGGAAGAGGAGCTGTACCTGAGAAGACAAGTGAGCCGCCGCCATCAAAAGTTGAAGCTTTGGATGGCTCCAACTATGGAAAATGGAGCGGGCGGATGAGGAGTGCCTTCAAACGCTACAAGCTACTGAAGATTGATGTTGGGGAGGAGAAGATGCCGGAAGAAGGCGAAGCACGTGAACGGTGGATTGAGAAAAACGCGGTGCTTTTCGACCTCATCCTTCAATCGGTCAACAAGGAGATGTTCGAGCACATCAAGGATCTTGTGGAAGCGGATGATTCGGGTCCAAGGGCGTGGAAACTACTATGCGATGTGATTGAGCCCAACACTCTCCCGATGGTGAACGTGCTCGAGAAGGAACTTGCTGCCATCTCCATGCGACCAGGGGACGATGTGAAGCCGGTCCTTGACAAGATCAAGGACACCTATGCAAGGATGGCAGCAGCGGGCAGCAGTGTATCTCAGCTGCAGCAATGCACCAAGATCATCTCGGTGTTGGACAACTCTTGGGACAACCTCATCCCCACCCTCAACTCTCAGCAAGATCAATGGACACCTGAGTGGCTAAGGCAGCAGATTCTGCAAGAGGACTTCCGCAGACGCCATGTAGGAGGTGGTGCTTCCACTAAGACTGCTGAGGGGTATGGAGCTGCAGGGCGCGGCAGAGGAAGAGGGGGTTGGAGAGGCCGAGGCCGTGGGAGGAGCTTTGGCAGAGGTAGAGGCCGAGGTGACTACAATGAGGGGCATGGGAGCTCTAATGGTAGGGGGAGTACCAGAATGGAGGGCACCTGCTAGTACTGCAAGAAGGTCGGGCATCCTTGGTTCAAGTGCTTTAGCAGGCCGGAGGGATGGGCACCTCCAGGCATGAAGCCGCCAAGTGGTGAACGCGCACAAGGTGGTGCTGTGCAAGGCTTACGTGCACAAGGTGAAGGTGCACAAGGTAATACCTATCCTGGGATGTTTCTCATGGTTGAGGATGTGCATGGGCATGAGGGTGATGTGGGATCTGTGGGAAAGGTTGGGATGCACCCTCTCACGCACTGGGTGATTGATTCAGGTTGCACCAGTCACATGACCCCACGGGCAGATTTGCTTGATGAGGTAAAACCCCCTGGGAAGATTAAGTATGTGGCAGCAGCGTCAGGTGCTTTGCTCCTTGTCATTGGTGTTGGGAATGCCAAGGTTAAGGGAGCTAATGGGGAGCTTGTGGGGCTTGGGAATGTTCTGCTGGTTGAAGGTCTGTCTGCTAACCTTCTCTCTGTGCGGCGGCTGCAGAAGAGTAAGGCCGAAGTGACCTTTGGACCAACCAGCTGCCGTGCTAAGCTTGGGAAGAAGGTGCTGTGGAGTCTGGAAGAGGAGACCAGCTGCATCAAGGACCTATGGCAGCTGCCCATCATCCCTTGGAATGGGAAGACTCCAACAGCAGCAACGGCAGCAGCGGCAAAGGCAAAAGCAGGAGGAGATGCAACTGCACCACCTAATGGGGTCCTGGAAGCAATCAAGAAAGTGCAGCAGCAGCAGACCAATGGTGAGGTGCTTGCTGGTGTGGATGCGAGTGCGGCATAGGCTAAGGCTTCATCAAGGAGTGGTGAGGCCGATTGGGAGACATGGCATGAGAGGCTGTGTTATGTGAACTTCCCTATGCTGCAGAAGTTGGTGAAGGATGGGAGCCTGAAGGGCTTGGAGGTGAAAGGGGGAGTGAAGGAGATTGGGAGCTGCCCTACATGCTTGGAGACCAAGTTCTCCAAGTTCCCCTTCAACAGCACTACAGGACCAGCCAAGACCCCACTTGCACTTGTGCACATGGATGTGGTGGGGCCCACAAGAGCCCCTTCCTCTCAGGCATCCGCTATTTCTTGACAATTGTGGATGACCACACTCGGACAGTGTGGGTTTACCCTTTGAAGAGCAAGGGGGAGGTGGCAGCGGCTGTCCTTAAGGAGTGGATGCCTAGAGCTTAGAGGGAATGCGGACACAAGGTGAAGGTGATCCGCAGTGACAATGGTGGGGAGTTCATTGGAGCTGATTTTGAGGGGGAGTTGAAGAGGAAGGGGATCCAGCATCAACTAACAGTGCCCTACAACCCGCAGCAGAATGGCGTGGTTGAGAGGTTCAACAGGACCCTGCAGGAGGGGGCACGCACTCTCCTTGGGCGTGCAGGGCTGCCTGATCCGTTTTGGGTGTCTGCACTGAGGCAGGTCACCCTTGTGAAGAATAGGGTGCTGGCTACAGTTGGGGATAAGGAGTGGATCCCATATACCAAGTGGTATGGGAGTGCTCCAGCTGTGAACATGCTGAGGGCATTTGGGTGCATGGTGGTGTTTCATGTGCCTAAGGAGAAAAGGGGGAAGTTGGAGGCTTCTGGAAGATGGGATGTGCACTTGGGGATTGCAAAGGATCACAAGGGGTGGCTGCTATGGGACTTGACCACCCAGAAGTTGACAGTGTCAAGGGATGTGAAGTTTCTTGAGTCCCTGTAATACAAGGAATGGAAGCAGCAGCAACAGAAGCTTCCATCTACACCGCTCATTGTGGAGGCAGATGAGGTGCAGCAACCTTCAAGACAGGTGGAGGTTGCAGTGTCTGAGGAAGAGATGTTTGGGGTGACTGAGGAAGGGGGGGCAACTGAAGTGGAGCAGCAGCAGCAGCAGCAACATGAGTCTCCACCTCAAGTTCAACACCCGCCTGAGCGACCTAGGAGGGATGTGCGCCCTCCGGTGAGGCTGACCTATGGGGGAAGAGGCAAGCCGAATGTGGTGCAGGCTGGGAGTGTGGTTGAGCAGATTGAGGAAGATGAGATCGCTCACTGTTACTGGGCATCAATCCCTGAGCCCAAGACTCGAGAGGAGGCCTTGAATGGACCAAATGGGGAGAAGTGGAAGGCGAGTGAGGATGAGGAGTTCGGGCCCCTGATTGAGAACGAGAGATGGGACCTGTGTGACTTGCCTCCTGGGAAGAAGGCAATCACTTCCAAGATGATCTACAGGCACAAGTATGGACCTGAAGGGGAGCTGACCCACTACAAGTCTAGGCTTGTGGCACGGGGGTTTCAGCAGACAAAGGGGAAGGACTATGATGAGGTGTTTGCTCCTGTGGGGAAAGGAACAACACTGAGGGTGCTGTTGGCGATAGCTGCACTCTTGGGATGGACGATACGGCAGATGGACATTGTGACTGCCTTTCTGAATGGGATCATTCTGGAGGAGGTGTACATGAAGCAGCCAGAGGGGCTGGATGATGGGAGCGGTAGGGTCTGCAGGTTGAAGAAGGCCATCTATGGCCTTAAGCAAGCGCCTCGTGCATGGTATCACAAGTTGGAGGAGGCGATGTTGGCTGGGGGTTTCAAGAAGAGTGAGTGTGACCCCAGCCTGTTCCTGCTGCAAGAGAAGGATGAAATCCTCATGCTCTTGGTGTATGTGGATGATATCCTTCTCTTTTCTGCATCAACTGCTTTACTGGACAGCGCAGAGCAGATGCTGGAGATGCAGTTCAAGTGTTCCAAGATGGGTGAGGTGAAGTACTACCTGTCGATGCATGTGGAGAGAGATGTGGAAAAGGGTGTGCTGAGGTTGCACCAGAGGAAGTACTGTGAGGGGCTGGCTGAGAAGTATGGGTTGCAAGATGGGGGAAAGCCAACAACACCACTACCTTCGGGGTTTACTGTGGAGCCATGTGCTGATGAGGAGGTAGTGGGTGAGAGTGACAGGAAGCTGTTTCATTCGATGGTTGGGTCGCTAAACTATGTTGCAAATCATACACGGCCTGCCATTGCATTTGCTACATCACGGCTGGCTAGCGTGGTTTCACGCCCTAGTCATGAGCAGCTGGAAGCGGCCAAGAGGCTGGTCCGCTATGTGAGCGCAACGACATCAATGGGATTGGAGTACAGTGGAGTGAGGCAGCGGTTGCAGAGAGGTGCTGCAGATGTGAAGAGTAGAGAGATGCTCTTGAGTTGCTATACTGACGCTAGCTTCAACTCAGTGAAAGCGGATGGCACCAGCATTGGGGGTTATGTGTGCTTGCTGGGAGGTGGTGCTGTGAGCTGGCGCAACAAGAAGCAAAATGAGGTGGGATTGTCCTCATGTGAGACTGAGTACATGGCCTTACACCATGGGGTCAAGGAAGTGGTGTGGCTGAGGCGTTTGTTCGAGGAGTTGGGAGTTGGTCAGGAGGAGCCGACAGTTGTGTTTTGTGACAATGAGTGTGTTGTGAAGCTCGCCAAGAATGCTTGTCTGCATGGGCTGACAAAACACATAAGGCCTAAGTGGCATTGGGTGAGGAGACTCCTTGATAAGGAGGTGCGGCTGGAGATATTTTCACTAAGCGTCTTGCGGAGGCAGATCATTGGAAGGGCATGAAGCTTGCTGGGATGAGTGTGCATTGAGTATGCATGCTTGAGATGTTGGTATGGTGGATGATGGTTGGCAGTCAGAGGGGGAGATTGTTGTGTGATGTCATCATATGCTATCACATTCTGTCTGCCTCCCATCCCATGTTTTCAACTTGCAAGTGTGGTTTGAACGTGTGCAAGAATTTGTATGTGGTGTGTTCTGGAGTTTGGGAATGTGTTTTGTGTTATTTTGTTTGAGCAGGTATTTTTGTGATGATAGATCTTGAGAATATCTTTCCGACGCAACGAGAATCCCTTCAATCGGAGCAAGAACGCGAAAGCTATGAAGATTCAAAGTTCATGAGCTTGCGTTACAATTGCGGCGGTTACAAAGTGAAGTTGTGGGGTGACTCTATATGGAGTTGGGACCTTTGGGGTTGGGGAAATTTGTCACTCTACTGTAACAGCTGCAAATTGGTTGGGAACAACCAAGCTAGGTTGGCAAGGGTGGCCAACTTGGATGGATTGGTTGGGAAGGGACAAATGTCAAAGTTGGGGTTCCTATAGGGGGGGAATCTTTGTGCTTATGGGGTTTCCTTGGTTGGGGACTCTCTTAGGACATTCATTTTCATCCCTCTCTTCTATCCCAACCTTTCTCTTGCTCCTCTAATTTCTTGTGAGATTCTTGAACTTCGATTGAACTTTTGAGATTGAGTTAAGTTCTCCTCCTACAGCCTACCCCCTAGTGCGTCGAAAGACATAGCGTCGCGAGTGCTCCATCAATCGACGTAATTCAAATTGATAATTGTCGCTAAGATTACAAGCTACAACATATCCGAGTTTCACGATATTCCAAGGGCTAGCTTTTTGTCGACGTTATTTCTTGTGAAGACGACTTTTCTGTCCAGAATTTTGGATTTATATTTTGAGTAATTCTAGCTCCTAAGTTCACCTAGACTCCGTCCTTAATCCTAACACTTACCTTAGCAAAAAAATGCATGGGGGAGTACTAAACTACCCAATACACGACAAAGAAGCCCTTGCTATTATCATCACATTCAAAACGTGAAGATGTTACCTCGAATGACGAAAACAACGGTCTACACCGACCACTGCAGGCTGAAATATTTGAAGACACTACCAAACCTCTCCAGGCAGCAGGTCCGGTGGATCGACTTCCTCGATACACACCTCCACTACGACATCGTGTACAAGCCTGGCCACAAAAACAAAGCAGACGCACTTAGCCGGCCTGCGCACGTTGCCACCATCCAAATCGAAGAGATGAATCCACTACTCAAGGAACTCTTCACACATTGGTACACCACCGACATCGCATACTGGAAAGGATCAACGAAAATCTGGGAAACCAATTACCCTCCTTTTCGCCAGTCACTACTATAATAATATCACGATGTCCTATACGCGGGACACTTCAGTAGCAACAAGACACTCACCGGTATCGCAAATCACTACTACTGGCCCCACATGGCAGACAATGTACAGAAATTTGTCACCTCGTGTGATACATGCCAGCGGATGAAGAGCAGCAAGCAGAAAAAAGCAAGACTGCTACAGTCTCTTCTTGTCCTAGAAAAGCCATGGCAAGTGGTTAGTCTGTACTTTATAACAGGGTAACTAACTTCCTAAAGCATTCATAACGCAATCCTCGTCGTCATAAAAAAATTCTCTAAAATGGGATACTTCATCCCGAAGCACACGACAGCACGCACTTAGGAGACCGCACAACTATTCGTTCGCTACATCATCTCCCGGGATGGCATTCCAACCACACTCATCTTCGACCGCGGCCCCAAGTTCACCAGCAAGTTCAGGAGGGAACTAATGTCTCTGCTCGGGACCAAACTCGCCATGTCATCCGCCTACTATTCACAGACAGATGGACAGACCGAGCGTCTCAACCAAATTGTCGAGCAACTCCTCCATGCAGCATGCAAGGACGAGATCTCTAAATGGGACTTGCACCTGCCTGTCCTGGAGTCTGCTTACAACAGTGCTACTCATGCCGCTACTGGACAGACGACGTTCTTCCTCTGTTACGGACACAACCCACTCATGCCACAAAGACCAACAGTATCAGCCACCGTCCAACCCGCACACGACTTCATCACGACCATGCATCAGCATTGTGATTTGACCCACAAGCGCCTCCTCGACATTCAGTAGCAACAGAAGCGCCAGACCGATTGCCACCGCACTGGTCACACCATTACCGTAGGCGACCAGGTGCTGCTCGACACCCGCAACCTTGATGTCCGCCATCTCCCATCCAAACTACGACCTCGCTTCTGCGGGTCTTTCCTCGTTGAAGCACAGGTCACTCCTGTCACCTCCCGTTTACGCCTCCCAGCTACCTGGAAGATTCACAACGCCTTCCATGTCCAGCTTCTGAAGCCCTACAAAGATCCCAACACGGTCTTCACCGGACACCAACCGCCGCCGCCGCCGTCCATCCTCGTCCAGGATGAACACGAGTACGAAATCGAGGCTGTGCTTGCACACCGCTGCCATCGGAATGGCACCATGGAGCTTCTCATCCGGTGGAAGGGTTATGATCCTTCTGAGGATAGCTGGGTCCCTGAATCCGACATGGGTCACGCACGTCGTCCACTTCGCGACTACCTTGTCAAGCAGGGTGTTACTTCTACCACCCAGCTTTGAGGGGCGGAAGTGTGAGAGTACGACCCCATTACGCTTCTCTCTCATTTCCATCTTTTCTTCTCTATCTCATTCTCCTTTTTATCCTGATTCATTTGATCTTTACCTCACCTCATTTGGGTTCCTATTCCTCATTTTCCATTATCCTTTGGTTTATCCTTTTATCATGATTATATCATCGACCAGGCACGGGATGTACTGGCTCGCTATATCTAGTGTAGTCATACCGTAATCCCTTAAAACCAATAGCCTCGCGTGGCTATACGCATAGTGATTCTATTTCTAGAAGGGTCTATTCCATCATGTTTTTCCTGCCCATTAGATTGTTGAAAAAAACTAGTGTGACGTCTCTCCCGATTACGAGGTCTTGGAAGCCCCCCTTTAGCCATCCCAGAAATTCCCAATGTATTGTATACAGTGGTGGTAGCCCGTTTTGAACATCCGTAACGTCCCACCTGTGCTACTTTGGCCACCCTCTAACCTGAATCTCGTTTGGCTTCAAGTTGAAGGTCTAGAGTGCCACCTCTGAGTGACCATCCCCTACTAAGATCATGTTCCTACATACCTCTTCCTAGACAGCCTCTTCCCAGACTTATGGATCCAGTGTTGTGAATTTTGAAGTGAATTTCGACGTGAAATTGTTCAATGCAGTTCCGTGTGGTACGACGCGAGGTGAGGCTTGCCGAGATTCACGAACGTGTTTCTGAACCTCTTTTCATGCGAACATATTTTTAGACACGCGCGAATTTGTACAGTGCAATTTCGATGCGAGCTGTTTTCATGCGGTTAAGAACGGTGGAACACAAATCTGAAACAGGTTCACTACAAATTGGGGTCCAGAGAACACGCTCTCATGGTGTCGCGCGAGTCTAGGAAAGGGGCTGCCTTGTGATATGATGTGCAAGTAGCGAGAATCAGGAATTGCATTAGCGAGAAAGATTACACAATTTGTCAACATCAAAACCAGCCCAGCACTAGGATATAGCTAGGCACGAAGCAAACACTCAAGCTCGGCAGGGCTCGAACGTGTGGCGGGAAAATGGGCTCGGAGCGCACTCGACGAGCACGAAATATGAAAAGCACACGAATCTGCATGCGGCTCGGGATAGGCCACATTGGGCAACGTGGCTCAGATGATTGTGATAAAATGTGTGGGAACCCCTTTATAGCATTGTTTGCTTTACGAACTAAAACCCGAGATAAGGAAATGCTATTTGATAGTGGGTGAGGGCTGTGTGGTTCGGGAGGGGCTGGTAGCGGTAGCGCCCCCAGTTCTATGAGTCCTCATCGAAGGGAGTCTTGTTGTAATCAGCTCAGGTCCCTGGTGCTTGAGCAGGGCGGCCAAGAGCTTGGTTTTTTGTCTTGGATTGCTAGCTCTGCCTTTCGGAGTAGAATTCCATCCTACCGAGACGGGTGCAGTCCATGACGAGATATGGCGAGTGACCGGTGCGCCAATCTTGACCCTGGATTCGGTTGGTATGTTGTTGTGGTGCCTGCAGTAGATGTTGTTCTTGTTGCTGCTGCTCCCCCTGCTGCTGCTGCTGCCGCTGCCTCTGTTTCTGCTGCTGCCGTTGCCTCTGTTGCTACTGCTGCTCGTGCCGTTGCTGCCTCTCGGGCTGCTGATGTTGCGATGATGGATCTCATTGCAGTCGCAGCTGCTTTTGGCATGGTTGGGCCGGTCCTTGCATCAATTTCTGCTAGGGAGCATGCCCAGGTGTCCATGTCTAGGGCAAGTTTTGTGGCCTTGTCCACCTTTTCCTGGTGTGAGCTCTCTCCAGTTGGGATGGAAGGCCATGTGCGTGGCTAGTTCCCATGGAGTTGCTCGACTGGTATCATCGAGGGTATCAGGCCCTGTATAAGCGAAATTGGCGTCCAGACGCCGTCTGGCGAGATAGGGAGAGTGTTCCGTCCCTTTGGGAGGGACAATAGTGACGGTTGCTGTGAGCTCGAAGAAGGTCATTCCAGCTTCAGGGGCGAGGGTGTCGGTGGTATTTCCGTCATCGAGGGTATCGAGCCTAGTTCTGGCGATGTTACTTTTGGAGGAGGTCGTGGTCCGACAGGTACAACAAATTCCGTCTGTTCCGGGGTTATGGAGGTCTGTCTTGGTGAGGTGCATGTGATGCAGGAGGCTGTGTTCTATGTTTCTCGTCCATCCATGCAAAGCTGAGAAAAACGAGGTCAATCAGTTTATGGCTATCTCCGTTGCAATCGGGCATCTCGAAGTCCATGACGTAGACTCCTTCCTCCACGTGAGCGCGTGCGATGTACTGCAGTGGGTTTTTTTACTGATTGGGTAGGTTGGGCCGCGTCTAGTGTAGGAGAATGTCTAGGGTATAGGGGTCGGTTCGCATCTCAACGCCACATGATAGTAGTTGGGAGGTTGACAGCAGGTTGTAGTGCAAGTTTCGAATGATGAGCACGTCATTCAGAGTGATGTGGGTTCTGGAGTTTCAGGTTTGGGGGACCACGATCCCCTGATACTTCGCCTCCAAGCGTTTGTTGTTGGTGACAGTCACGTAGGCAGTCACTGGTGTTGGGAAGGTATTGGAGATATACCGTTCCAAGCCAACCATATGTGGGCCGCAGCAGCTGTTCCGGTACCTGACATTATAGTTGCGGGGATTGGTGCGGGCGAGCATTGCGATCCTTGGTGTAAGTCGGTAGGGTCGGTTCTTCTCGTGTAGGAGATGGTCCCTTGGGAAGGAGTCGAACTGCCACTGGTCGTGTGCGCTTTGCAAAAGCGTTGATTGGTCGAGAAGTATGTCAAAGTGCATGCAACTTAACAGATTTGGTTATAACAAATAGATACACGGTTTATACAGTAATACATGAGAGAATGCGAAGGGTCTAGTGATGATGCACTTCACAAGGGTACATTCCCTTGAGGTTTCATATCTGGCTCGGGTAACTGCACACAACTTGGGTTACTGCACATGCTGTATTACAGGGTCAGTTATGTGTCATTGTTGTCGTGTCAACCCTTGGTTTTCTGTCTATAGGGTTGTCAGTCAACGGCACGACCGTTGCATTTCGTTATTCGATACTGGCACGAACTCGATAACAGTTATGATGTGCAATTAGCGAGAATCGGGAATTGCATTAGCGATAAAGATTACACAACTGGCAACATCAAAACCAGCCCAATACTAGGGTATAGTTAGGCATGAAGCAAACATTCAAGCTCGGCAGGGCTCGAACGCGTGGCAGGAAAATGGGCTCAGAGCGCACTTGACGAGCACGAAATGTAAAAAGCACACAAATCTGCATGCGGCTCATGATAGGCCACATTAAAGCCGGAGTATCAAGTTGATGAAACCTATTAGGTTTGGTGCTAATTGGATAGAGGGGCCGTTCAGGGTTCCGCAGGGCCGTTAGTTGGCGAGCGTAGCGAGGTTTGGGAAAAAAATGGTGAAGTGGCGAATTTCAGCAATTCGCGTGTGTCGGCTCAGATGAATATGATAAAATGTGTGGGAACCCCTTTATAGTGGTGTATGCTTTATGAACAAAAACTCGAGATAAAAAATGATTTTTTTCTTACAGCTGGGAAAAATGTTTTTTTTTTCCGTCAGAACAAGCTGCCAAAACCGTCGCTCAGAGTGCGCATGAACGTTTTGGGCAACGGGTTTTAACTCTATTCCTTTGAGATGTACATGTTTGAAATTTTGTAAATGTAAATTAGGGTCTAACTGAAAAGAGCTGATATTCGTGCCCTTTCCTTCTCGGTGCTTCAGCGAAGGCGCACCGAACTCAGAAGGAAGGTTGCTGTCAGCACTCCCGCCCCCCTGACATGAATTTGGATGCCCTAGTCAAGGTCCACTTGTCGGTGCTGGCGGAGCTGTTTAGTCAGGGCAGCTGTTCGAGCGAGGATTCGCGAGTATCGCATAGCATTTGGAAATCCCAGTTTTACCTAGAGTTATTGAGATCTCGAGTTCGCGAGCTTCGCTGCGAATACCGAAAGCCAGTGGTGGCGGGTAACTACAGCCGACAGTAGGGGCAGACGCCTGCGCAAACACCAGGGCGCACGCGCCGCCAGTCGCGATCCGCCTTTTGTCGGCTGATGGATGGATGAATGGACCCTCCAAAATGTCTCACGTTCAACGGCCGGAACGCAAATTGGCTGTCTCCATATAGTCAGTGCCTTCGCTTGAAGAAAACGTACAGCACAGCGAACGGCAGTCTTGTTGTGTCGTCGTCGTGACCCGTAACAACAGAGTCTTCCAGCCCAAACCAAGCGCGCCCGTTACCATCTACTCAAATCTGGTCAAGGGTTGAAACGCGCGTACTTCCGCAAGGCCACGCTCAGCATTTCCCCGATTTGAATCTGACCCCACGTCATTGGCTAGCTTCCACTCCTCCACCTTCTATCTTTCGCCTCGGCCACCCGACAAACCAATTCTCGAATAGCTGAGAGCATCGTCCTGTTCAATCAAGTTTTCCGAATCCTCCTTCCGTGGGCTTACCATAGCTCACTCGCTCCACGAAGGCTGCCATCGATGGCTCGCTTCACTGCAACCCTTCCGCATCTTCTTCCTCTTACTCTTGCTCTCGTGTCCACCCTCCTCCTTGCCGCAACGCCGCAAACATGCGCTCTATCGAAGCTCGAAATGCTCAACGAAATGGTTGTTTTTAGCGAGGACGAGCCCTTCTTGTTCGACAACATGGACGAACGACTGTCAGCAGCAGCCCTCTCCGAAACTCCTGATTGGCTACGCGACGGCGAAAGCGCCCATTCTGTTACGAGCTCGACAGCGCCGACGACTGGAGTGGCGGAATCGCATACCGTCGCACAATCGTCGCAAGCCCCGTTGCAAGCCATCGCTGCCGTACTCGGCGAGGGTGCGGCAAGCGAAATCCCGTCGGAGCCACCGGCCAACCGTCACTTGAGGGGCAGCGGCATTTTGTTCTCATCGCAAAGTCATTGACCAAAGGGACGGACATGACTTGCCTCTGTATGGGAGCGCAAACGAGGGCCCGGACTGCAACAGTTGCGACTGACGCCCGAAATCTCGCACTCGCCGACCTTTCTACACTCTCGCCCGCCATCTCTAGAGCGCGCAACACCCTTGCTCGAAATCAAGGCCTCCCCTTGCCTCTGTGAGCGGCTCTCGCGCTGACGAGGCGACGGCGACAGCGATTAACATGAGGGACTTCATTTCGTGACGCGTACGTCGGTAAGTGACCTCGTGGCTACGCTCACCAACATGTGGGACGTTTATATTGACGGAACACCCCTGGGAGCCTAGAGGAGGACGGAATGGACAAGGTTTTTCCAGATCTTAGCTAAATACGTCATTTTGTGCTGCTCCCCGCACACGAGCAACATTCTGTAGGTAGCTGATAGAGCTGAAAGGTAGTGGCAGGGTAGCTTCTTGCATGAAAGGGATCGACCAGATCCCTTGATTAGTTTAGTAAGGCTGCTACGTGTTGGCTCCTCGCCATACGTCAGGCGTACATCCTCTGGTCTGAAGTTTTGGCTGGGATATATACCTAGCTACTGCAGGGACAATGTATAACTGCAGTAGACCTTGCAATCTTGTTATGGAACAGGGCTGATTCCCTTCGAAGTGCACATGTGTGGTATTGAGTACAGTGGACGGCCAAAACAACAGGACAGGGGGGGCGGCAGTCATTCCTCCTATCACACCAGGAATACATGCGGATTGTGTTAGAGTAACTAGGTAGCTAGGGAAGCCATGGAAATGGCGTGAGGTTTTAGGTGGGAGAGAAGTGGGTTCGGACTAGAAAAGATAGGGATACAAGAAGGGGGGTTGAACCCTCTGCAGTATGATCCAGTACCACCTACCAAGCCTACAATTATATTTATATATAATATAATTGAACACACTCCATAGGCTTGGTAGCCGAAAGTACACCACACACACAGCACACTAAGCCACACAACCACTTAGCCTAGCACCCCCATACTCAGCAGCAGCGACAGCTACTCCAGCATGGTCAACCCCTCGGCGCGGCGGCGTGGCCAGCGGCACCAGCTGCGGCGGCGGCGGAGCTCGCAGCACTCGGGGGCGTGGCCGGGCTCCACGACGGTGGGAAGGCCGACGCGAGTCAGCCGTCGAGTGCGGCGAGGAAGAGGGGACACAGGGGAAGGGGGCGGGGCTTCTGCAGCGGAGCCCAGGAGCATGCCGCCCCGTGTGGCGCGCTGGCTGCATGCGGGCGTGCTGGCCAGCGCTAAGACCGGGCGCTGGCCGCTGCCATCTGTGCTTGTTGGAAATATCTCAAAGGACTTAAGCGTTTCACTCGAGGAAGATTACAGGGGGGGGTACGCGAGTCAACGGAGGTTACACGAGGGGGCAGACAAAGAACGCGAAGGAACTCGAAAGATCGCAACTGGAGGTTGCGACTGACAGTTACAACATCACGGATGGTAACCGAAGCGGCAATCGAGTCGCCTGTGCGACTCGACAACCGCTCCTGCAACTGTATTCTACAACTGCTTTCTTATTTCCTATATATTGCTGTATGCTTGTTTCTTTAATCAATCACTTGTTCTCATATACCAGTACAAGGGTTCAACTGCCTCAACTTCCGCTGCACTACTCAAGTCTCATTTTACAACTGGGACTTAGTCTCTGGAAAGATCCTAAGGGCTTTTATCAGCTCAACATGGTATGAGAGCTGGTCAGAGACCAAACTCCCAGCAACTGCGCTCTATCAACAACCTGCAACTCAACTCAATTCAACGACTTCATTGATTACAAGACATGGACAGCAAGGGCAAGAAAATCTCTAAGGGCTCACCCAGCGGCCAAGAAACTCAACACGGCAACTCTGGACTGCACGCCTCAGGACTGCAGACAGAGACCGGGACTGCTCAAGAAACAACAGGAAGAGCACCAGAGATGGTAACTCCATCACCCTCTTCAAGCGTGGACCCCAACCTTATGGAAAGGTTCTTCAGTTTCATGTCGCACTTCGACCAGCAGAAGCAGACAAGGACACCTGTGCACTCAACACAGAGCAATGGAGGAAACATGGGATTAGCGCCGATGAGCCTCGACAATTCATCATTCGAGCGACACAATCAAGCGCCTACCTTTGCGCCTTATCACTCTTCACCGGGGACGTTCGAGTTCATGCCGCCCCGTGCCCAACCAACAGCAGCTGCATCACAACAGACACCAAACGAGATTTTAAGCCTCCAGGCGCAATTCTCACACGTGATTAAACTGCAGACATCCTCACCATTCAACGGAGACGATTTCTTTACCTGGAGTTTCGAGTTCGAGCTGCTGATGGAGGCTGCGCATCTCCTGGGATACTTCAACGGGTCCCTGCCATTCCCAAGCAACGGCACTGGAAAGGAGCAAGAAATCTTCACGTATCAGTCGCTGCTGGCGTATACAGTTCTCCTGAGAAACCTGTCACCACAAGAACAGCAGAGTATCAGAACATACAGGAGCTATGGCAACTCCGCAGAACTCGCATGGCATCACCTCAAGTGCCTCTATCAAGCAAACGACAGCGTGACACAAAGCAGACTCATGCAACAATTGACAACAATACAGATGAAGACCGGAGAAAAGGCGATCCAGTATATGAGTCGCTGCCAGACCCTCCGCGACCGCCTGCTTCGGTGCGGAGGAACAATCACTGAAGAAAGCTTCGTGACGCTTGTCCTCGCCGGGCTCGGGCCAGAATGGAGAACCACAAGCTCGCTTCTTCGCGCTCACGGAAGAATCTCGGAGATGCACCTCTGCGCCAAGCTTCATGCTGAACAACAGGAGATGGACCTGTTCGAAGAAAGACAACCAAGGAAGCAGCAGCAGTTAGTCTTCTACACTCAACGAAGGAACGACAACAACTACAATCGACGCGGCAAGCAAGATCAACGCGACAACAGAGGACTTACTTTCGTGCCGCCGTTCTGCCACAACTGCCAGACTTCCGGGCACTCCAAGTTCAACTGCACACGCCCTCGCGTTTATCGTCCAGTAGACCCACAAGTCGCTTCCACTCAAGACAGTCCCCCAAGGCGCTCTTCAACATCTGCACAACAGACACCAAACATTATTAACTGTATGGTACACATCGACAACTGCACACCCGGATCACCACCCACTTACGCACCAGACGAAGAAGAGCTCCCACCACCGCGCTCACAAGGACTTCAGGTCAACCCGACATACGCTGCGGTCGCCAACGCCGAACCCACCGGGCGAAACACCTTGTTCTTGGTCAGCTGCTGCGTTCAACACATGTGCTCTTCGGGACGCTTCGTGCAACGAGAGAAACGCCTCAACCGCGACGTCATCATCACCGTCGCCAACAACGAAAACCTGAAAACAAACAGACAAGGCATGGTTCAGTTACAATCCATGGAGACAAACATCATACTTCAGCTCAACAAAGTCCTCATTGTCGACAACTTGGGATACAACATACTAAGCGTAAGCCAACTAATGGCCAAAGGGATTCACCTGGAGTGCGACTCCTACTCCAACGAGTTTCGACTTTACCACGGGAAGGGCGGCCTCTTCATCGGTCGTGCTCTCCTGAAGTCCGGCGTCTTCGTGTTGGACTTCGTCCCCGACCGCGGTACTGCCGACAGCGACGGTATCGTGTCGTTCGCCGCCTGGACACACCCGCCGGATCTTGATCCCGACTTCGACACTGACGGATTCTGGCACTCCAACACCATACCTGCAGTAGAAAGAACATGAGCATTAGCAGTCATCAGACAAGAAAGACAAGTACCAGCAAGTGTCCCTTCCCAACCATCACCTGCAGTAGCAGCAGCAGGACCCAGCCGAGTACCACCACCAGCGATCCGAGGACCGCCAACCGAAGCAGACCAGCTTATGCCCATCACACGAGAAGTCTGTCGAAGTCCCGCCACAGTCGTCGCGTTCTTCTCCAACGCCGACATATACCACCGTTCGCCCGGCCATCGCGCTCCCGACGACATCTGGCACCAACGTCTCGGGCACCCTGCAAATAGTACAATACTACAAACCATCCAAGCCGAAGTGTTAGAACGCAACGCCCTCCTAACAACAAGCGGCCAAGAACTTCGACGACCACGCGCACAGTGCTTCACGTGCCCCGAAGCCGATCTTCCCCACCAGTCCTTTCCATCTCATCACAACCCAAGCGCACCTGCATACGCACCGATGGAAAAAGTCTACAGCGATATTTTAAACATGCCTCGAGAAGACACAGAAGCAGACTTCAACTATGTCATCACGTTCATCGACGCAGCAACCAGATACGTCTGGCACTACAACCTCAAGACGCGCGATCAAGCGTTCGACGCCTTCACAACATGGCTCCCCATCGCCGAACGAGAATCAGGAACCAAGCTCAAGAGCTTCCAGTCAGACGGTGCACTGGAATACCAGTCACAACGCTTCAGGACCTATCTGGCGGAAAGAGGAATCCGACGCCTGGTATCTCTGCCATACGCTCACCAGCAGCAGGGGGTCGCAGAACGCATGAACCGGACCTTGCAGACGACGATGCGAAAGCTGCTCCTGGGGATGAGGCTGCCCACCACACTATGGCCAGACGCGATGACCCATGCAGTTCACCTGCACAACCTGTTGTCCTCGTCATCGCTTCCTAACAACGCATCACCGCACCTCATGTGGACACGAAAACGGGGCAGCACAAAATTACTCCGAGTTTTCGGCTGCATGGTACAGTACAGACCCCACACCGCCCAAGCAGGACACTTCACTCAACGAGCTCGATGGGGACTACACCTCGGCATCGCAAAACATTTTCACGCATGGAAAATCCTCGACATACAAGACAAAAATACAATGGCATCACGTGATGTTATCTTCTACGAGCGACTGACGCTGCAGCATTACCTGGACAACATTGCCAACACACAAGACCCCACCGACGGCTTCTCGGGACTTCGTTCCTTCGCCGACCGTGCTGCCGAAGCTGACGCAGCAGAAGAAGACGTACCTGAAGCCTCGGAAGCTGCCGGACCACTCCCATTCTGTTCCGTACCTGTTCCACTCGACGAAGACAACCCTCTCGATAGTAGCAACCTCGACACCTTTTACCACTTCTCTGACCAAGGTTACATTACACCCCACCCAGTCGACACAAATGTTTCAGAATGCATCGGCCCCAACTTCTCACCTGACCCAGAAGACGGTGACAAAGGAGCTTATTCCGGGAATGAAAATTCCCCTCGACACACACCCACGGGACTGCAGATTCTCGGCCTCTGGGTCTCCGTCCAACATCCATCGCCGCCATCTCCGCGCGAGCCATCGACTCCATCGCAGGCTCTGGGGGGGGGAACACAAGGCAAAATGGAAGGAGGCGATGGAAAAGGAGTTAAAGGCTCTGCAAGACCGAAATACATGGAAGCTCGTACCCGCAACAAGCATCAACGGGAAGAACGTCCTCTCGGGAAAATGGGTGTACCGCATCAAGACCAATGCGGACGGTTCCACCGAACGATTCAAAGCTCGATGGGTCGTACGAGGCTTCGATCAACGATACGGAACCGACTACACAAAAACCTTCGCCCCAGTCTCCCGTCACACCTCCCTGCACATTCTACTCGCCGTCGCGGCCACG